GCCCCTCCAGCCCCAGCCTGCCAGGGGCCTGGAGCCCCAAGTAGCCCGACGGCCTGAAAACGGCCAAAGCCCAAGAGAGCCCCAGCCTCACTTCGCGGGGTATTTCGGCACTGGGAGCTCCTCCTACATCAACACAGCACTTTCCAGAACTTAAGCCCGTGCCGGCCCTAGAGCTGGCCCCAATCACTGTCTCCGAGGCCTGCGGCCAGTGGTGACAGGACAGCGGTCACTGTGCTGTGTGATGGTGACCGGGCAGGTGTGAGACCGAGTCCGGGGACGTGCCCAGATGTGATGGAGAAAGACGCTGGCACAGAACGTCAATAGATGCGGGAGACCAGCGTGCCCCTCCAAGCACGTCTGAGTGGTGACCCCGTCTTTTCCAATTAGCTACGGGCTTTCAACGGGGACAGCTGCCACTATGCTGGTTCCTCAGAAGGCAGGAACGCCCTCAGCCCCGCCTCCCCGGGCCAGCCGGTCCACTTGCATCGCTTCCTTCGTCCAGCCGTAGACGTATTCCGGTAGATACTCAGTATTAAACTGGCTCCCTGGAAAGAGCAGAAGCCACGCAGGCCTCCCCAAATCCTGTTCGATGCTCCACGCCTTGGGGGCTGCCCCACGCCTTGGGGGCTGCCCCACTTTGCACTGCTTTACGGTTGGCACCATATCTTGGTTTCCGGCTTCCAGAGCCACCTTTACACAGAGAGAGCCTCACAGGTGGCTCTGGGTGACCTGGGGCCTCCGGAAGGTTGGGGTCAGTCGGATGCCGTGATCCAGACAGAAGTGGATCCACGTCGACATCTGACCTACATTTTTGGGGCCATGACCAGTGGGAGATGCCTGGGCTCTTGCCACACGTTAAGCCTTCTGTTCAACAGGCCGCACTGAAGCAGAGGGGTCTTCGCCAAAGTTCTCTGTAAGGCTGACCTCTTTCTTTCAGGGAAGAGGGTCACGTGGTCTTTTTGGTGCCATCAAATGAAGATTTACCTCATGATGGCAAAGTGTAAAAGGAGAACTTGAGGCCGTGCATGCTAAGGTGATTAAATGGGAGCCTCCGAAATTTCAGCTGATGACATACAGTACGGGGGAGAAAACAAATGTTATTAAGAAAATAAACAGCACCACACACAGCTGTTCGGCAGAGCTGTTTGGACAAAAAAAAAAAAAAAAAAAAAAAATTGGTTGGGCAGGAAGGCAGCTTTGGGGAAGGCTGTGATAATATTTCTCGTTTTATAGCCCCATCTGCCTTTAGCGGTCCTGTCAGCAAGTCACTGAACGAAACTCAAGATTCTCTTTGAAACTGAACAGCTCTGAGAACCACAGTCAAGGCTGTGTTTAGCCTCCATCCCTAGGCCTGGATGGAAGTAGCCTGCAGCTGCCGGTTGCCTGGTGCTTAGGAAACAAACAAGTATGGGGGGCGGGTCCGTAACCGAGGGGGGCGGTCTTCCCGCCGGTCTGCCCTCAGAGCCCCTGCTCTGCCCCCGTCTGGGGTCTCCCGCTGGTTCTCCCACGTTGGCCACAGCGGACTGGCGCATCTCCTCTATGCTTCCTCAGTGACGCCTCGTTTCGGCCCCGTGCCCAGCCCTGACTACGGAAGACATCGGCTTGTGCTTGGGGCCCTGCCCGGGCTGGCCCTGCACAGGTGGGATGTGTATCCTGGGGTCAGTTCTCCTAGTGCATCTGCCTCGTCTTACAGTTTAGATCCAGCTTCGAAGTGGCACCGTCTTTGTGGTCAAACGTTCCTGCCCCTTCCCTAAGTCCCTTTTCCCTGGCCTGTCTCACACTCCTCAACACTTGAAGAAGCCCGGCGGTGCTCGAGACGTGGGAGGCTCCCTGTTTACACCGGCTGTGCCTTGAGAGTGGCCTTGCGACCATGTCACAGCCCCTGGCGACTCCCTCTGGTTGGCCGACTATAGCCCGTGGTCCCTTTGGAACGGCCAGTGATCTAAGAATGGTTTTTGCGTTTTTAAAAGGCTGACAAAAATCCAGACACTATTTCATGATGTCAAAATTATAATAAATTCAAATTTCAGTGTCCACGAATAAAGCTTTGTTGGAACACAGCCACCTCTCATCGTTTGTGGATTGTCTCCAGCTGCTTTTACGCTATGACGGCAGACTCGAGTCGTTGTGACAGAGCCCGTGTGGCCCGCAAACCTGAAATATTTACTATCTGACCCTTTACAGAGAACGTTTGCCAAGCCCCGGTCTAGCTAGAGCCTCCCCCCAACTCCTGGGTAAGAATTCCCATTTAGGTGCCTACAAAGAGATGCTCACCGAACATCTGACCTTGAGAGGATGGGTAAGGAACATCTAAGCCAACTGCCTGCAGGATCAGTGCCCTTGGAAGCGATGCTGTCTTCCTGCTGGGTGTTCTCACGACAACCCGTTGGTGAGGGGGTCTCCCTCCCTCTATTTGCTTATCTGTGTCTGACACTCTGTCATGTTCCCCAGTACCCAGAAGACAACGAGTATTTGTGGTACACGCTCT